TGTATGTGATGAAGTAAAAATGAAAATAACAGTTGATAAAGAGTTACAGTCCCAGTGCTGCCTTTTGGTTTCTCCTATGCCTGTGGATGAAAATAGAAGTGTCCGTTTGTTTAATACTATCAGGCTGCAGAGATTTGCTTTTCTTTGCTGCCATCTAGTGGTCTCCAGATTTTTGCAGATCTGTAATTCCTACCAAGATTACCCTATACATTTTGCACACAGGTCCTAGGTTTCCTATTCTGTGTATACTCGAAGGGCAGAAATGTTTATGAATACAGCCAGACAGCTACATTAAAGTGCAAACCAGCAGACCTTCAAATAGCAAAAAAATATGCCAGCATAAATGCCAAGCTTTATTTTGGCCTATTGACAAAGCTAGCTTTTCTGAACACAGATCTAGCGTTCTTTCAAAAGAGTGCTAGACTCGTGTTCAATGACAACTGGCAGGTCACAAACACAGAAGAAGTGTTATGAGAAGCACCAAGTGCACTTTTTCAGCTTCACCTTGTACCCCTCTTTGTACCTCTGATTTGTCAACTAGAATGAGAGATATGGAGAAATATGGGGTGAAGTGGGAGAAAGCAATCAGTAACTATTCTTGATTAGTTCATATTTTTTCCACATCTAATTAAGCCAACAATGCTATTTCAGTATTATCAGCATACAATCCTAGATGTCTACCAACAGTCTAATATTATCAGGGGTATGACATTGTTTCATAAAACTTTTCATACCAGATAATTTATTGTTGGTAGTACTCTTATCTGTACCAAAGCATCTGTTAATCTTTGTCTCTATAATTACAAAAAAAAGATGTCAGATAATTTCTACAATCCTTCCCTATTTTTAAAATAAATTATATATTTTAAAATAATAGAAAATCTATGATATGAAAAAAATGTATATAAGAAAAGTTATATATGCTTTGTAGAAAGAAAAAAAAGAGCTCAAGGCAATATAGCATAGAGGACAGTGCCTAGCAAGTAAATGAAAATGGCCATTAGTGGCACACACATGCCAGCTCCTAATGATTTGGTTATCAACCAAAATCTTAAAGAAGTATGCCAGATTGTTTTCCTGAGAAAAACTGTGCCAAAAAGAGAGAAAATACTACTTCAAACAGGAAGAAATAACAATAGCACTTAGACTTATATACCGCTTCACATTGCTTTACAGCTCTCTCTAAGTGGTTTACAGTGTCAGCATATTGCCCCCAACAATCCAGGTCCTCATTTTACTGACCTTGGAAGGATAGAAGGCTGAGTCAACCTTGAGCCAGTGAGAATTGAACTGCTGCAGCCAGGAGTCAGCAGAAGTCGCCTGCAGTACTGCATTCTAACCACTGCACCACCAATTCTTTAGCTATGGGAAGATGAGGAAAAATGAAACATGCTGAGGACATCTCATATACACAGTTACCATAGCATACTCATGCCCAGATAGATGAAGACCGGCATGACTCTATGCTGACCCAGAAATTAGTTTTATTCAGTGTGAGGTTCCTGTTGTTGCTATATTTGCACATCATACTATTGCAAAATATAATGTATTAGTTTGGGGCCAGTATGTTGGATTAACTCCATCATTGTAGCTTATTCTACACGTCATAGTTAAAAAAAAACTAGTCCAGTGTACTATATGAACCCAGTTTTTATGTAGTTTGTAGTCCTTCTAAATTTAGTACCTGGAAGTGCCTTAAATGCTGTCTAAGCAATATCGACATTACACTAGACTAAGCAGGATAATGCTGGATCCATTGTATTATCAGGGTCAGGAAACCAAATTTCCAGCTTCTGTGTTCCTTTACCTAATTTTATGGAATAAATGATTCTGAAAGATTTTCAATAGATAATAGGTTATGGCAGTCTTTTACAACTTGATGCTTCTAGAAATGTTGTAACTTCATCTGTCAGAATTCCAATAATGACACAGTTGGGGAACGCTAGATTAGATTAACACCCAGCCTTCCCCAATATTAGCAGAAATTTTAGCTGTTGTCTATGTATTTCTACAGCATATATAAAAATATAAATCACTGCAATGGACAGGAAAGAAGGAAGGATAGGTTTTCTACTACAATTTGTAGGAAAGAAGAAAATATATTAACAAAACCAAATGACACTTTGTTATTAACCCATTTCATTTTTCAGCTTAAGTAGCAAATGTACTGTCGTCTTTCAAGGTCATATTATTTCTAGTACACCACTTTCAGAATGACTTGCTTTGAGATCTGGACACGTTCTGATGGCAGACTGACACCTTCCAAGGTAACAACTGACTTTAGATCATTTGCACATCTCTATTGGTGTGTGTTCAGAATGTTAACTGCTTGTCTGCCTTGGTATAAACAGGGCTTTTCAACCTTTTCACCCATTGTACCACTTTTAGGATATGGCAATATCCGAGTACCACCAGTCGCCTAGCAAGGTGTCAAAAACTTGATGACCCAAAAAAAAAAAAGGAAAAAAGAGATAAAGTACAGGTAGTCCTCGACTTACAACAGTTCGCTTAGTGACTGTTCGAAATTACAATGGCACTGAAAAAAGTGCCCCCCAAGGCACAGCTGAGCAAGACACCTGCCTGCCCACCCA